GAGCCAAAGACGCCTCAACGCCCGGCCCCGCCCCCCCGGGCCAACTGCCCCTCAGCGCCCGGCCCCGCCCCTCTTCCAGGCTTAGGCGGGAAGCGCCCAGGCCCCGCCCCCTGACCGCACAACGGCTCCAGACGGGCCGCGGGATAGGACAATCTTTTTCACAAGCAGCCCCTTCGCGGTGGCTTCATGCTCCGCGGCCCGCCTGCCTGCCTGCTCGCTGGTAGGTCTCGGAGCCGTCCGGCCCGGCAGGGAGAGAGCTGCGCCCGCGCCGGTGTGACAGCGGCGTGCGCCGCCCGCTACTCGGAGAGGGGAAAAGAGACACACACGGACCAGGGGGAGGGGCTGGGGCCGGCCTCACGTGACCACACCCCTCGCTTCCCTCAGCTTTCGCCTCCATGTTGTGTTGGGGCAAGGGAAGCCGAGCTCGCCTCCATTTTGGATGGGGGCGAGCCGCGCGAAAGTCTCCTCCATTTTGGGGCGGGGCAAAGGAAGCCGGGTCCGCCGCCATTTTGGATTGGGGCGAGCCGCGTGAGGGTCGCCGCCATGTTGGGGCGGGGCAAGGGAAGCCGAGCCCGCTGCCATTTCAGGTCAGGGCAGGGCTTTGGTGGAGCTGCAGCTTGTCTTGTAAGCAGGTGCCTTGTTGCCTCGTGCAAAGGAGGCCCGGTGTTTTACAATCATTCATCTTAAAATTTCATGAAATTCCATTTTCGTGGATTCTTTTTATTGCATGGGTCCTCCTAAGCTGGACATAGTTTAGGATTAAACATGTCATCATGGGGCACTGGCTCTGGGGTATCCAGAAGTTGCAACGTAATGAAAAACCAGGGGCAGGATGACTGAATTGCAATAGGTTTTGGTGCTGGCTTTTCTTTGTAGCCTGCTATGTGCCAAGCCTCCTTGGCCCTTGTACCCGTGAAGGGAACTGCACATTGTGAAGTCAGCAGGAAGGGGTGATGTCTGCTGGTAACCATTCAGTAATGGGAGAGGCAACCCTGCCCTGGGGACGGGTCTGGATTCGACTTAGGAAGGGCCACCTTGCATGGACCTGAATCAGGTCCCATTGGGAGTGCGGATGCAGCATACAAGTCAGCCAACGCGGTGGTGAAGTACAACACAATTCTTACGGGGTGTTGGCTGTCGCCGTGTTGATCCAATATCCTTTATTAGACTAACTCCAATAATTGGAAAAATGCTTTTTGGCAAGCATTTGGGTTATTAACTCCATTTTTCTTCTTTGGAGTTTCTGAATTGGGCTCGGAGGTGTGCGAGGCCTGGAGGGTTTCGGAAGAGCGAGGGTCATTTACTAGTGAGCAAATGCATTTCTTTAGCCCGTTACATCTATTAATGGCCATCTAGTGGCAGCAAAGAACCTGCGCCCTAATCAAAGATGGAGTCCACCCATTGATCAGGGACCCACGGCTGCTTCTTTGCCCTCACCAGATATGGCCGGCGGGCGGCATCGTTTTTGCATTAGGGCTTCCCACCCGAAACGAAGATGGCCGGCTCGGGGTCTAGTTTTTGCATTAGGCTTTTCCCACCCCAAACAAAGATGGCCGACTACCGGGCTTCACTTGCCCTCGCCCAAGACGGCGGCGTGGCTTGAGGACCCTTCTTATAGGTAGTCCGCGTAGTGCCTGCTTCCAAGTGGGCTCTCTCCTCGCGCGTCCACCCCACCCAGCAGCGAGGCGCTGGGCGGCCCCGCGCGCGCATGGGCCGGGCCCTTTCTGACAGGCGCATTCTGAGGGCAGCTGGGTGGGGGCCTGTCGGTGCTGAGTCTCACTTCCGGTTTCCTGTCAGTGCGGGTCCTGCGCCGGGCACCAGCCTCCGCACAGGTACCCCCCGCCCCCCCCCCCCCGGCCCGACGGGGG